CCCCAAAACCCCAAAACCCCAAAACCCCAAAACCCCAATTTGGAAGTTAAAATTTGAAATAATATTGCAACATGGCAAACAGACACTCTTCTCAAAGCAAACTTTTCATGATAGTGATTTCTGCCTTGCTCATGATCAGTATCTGTACAGCCAAGTTTCCAAGTAAGTTCATCAGCGAAAGCAGAAGGAATTTAATTCAGGTTTTACATATTTTGTACTGTTCTTTGGCCATTTTTAAATATTCATGAAGTATTCGGCTTAAATGAATGTCAGTTTGGGTCTCTACTTCATTGTGAAGCAAGATCACTAATGTCTGACTGCACTTAGTACAATATCACAAAAATTAAAACCTCTGTTTAGGATACCAAAGAAATCATATCCCAAATTACAGCAAAATTGCTGATACTGGCTCTGTGGTATTTTCGTTATTTTATCAGTTTAGATTTATCAGAAACTTGAGGCGAATAAATATTTTGTTGGTGAAGAGAGAACATCTGTCCCTACTCAGGCTCCCACTGAGCCACTAGCGAATACATCTCAGCCTCAAGTCAAACCTCAGAGCTCTCAAGCTAGGTCATCTCTTCCGGCGCCTTCTCCTGTTCAGCAATCCCAGCAGCCTCAGGCCAGCCCTCATTCACAAAAGTCAGGAACTGATTTCAGAAAAGTTGATAGTTATCAACAATTTTTGATAAATTCACTCAAATCTGACTTTTTAAGAGAATTCGAAAACTTATTTGATAGTGTTACAGCGGTCGGTAAGCCTACTGTTCTATAAACACACCTCAGCCTCAAGATCCAGGTGTGAACAAATCTTCCGTTAGACCTCACTTAACTTGCTTATTTAGGCAGCGATCATGTGTTCGACCTGATTGAATTTTATGATGACAAGATCCTTCTAATAGACTTTTACACTAAAAGAGGCAACCATGAGAAAGTCATCAAAGATCTTAAGACTCTCATCGGAGACAACCAAGCCTGATATGATCAGATCTTGTACGTTGACGTAAATGCAGAGCTAAAGTATGAATTTTACAATATCCTGTATGACTTGAACCTGCTTATGGAGCCATTGAACAGCTTCCCCTACTTCTTGGTCCTTAAAGGCGGTCAAGGAGATATGATTACCGGTGAAGACTCAGCCCAACTAATCTACACTAAAGTCACACAATTCCTATCCTAACTCCTATTTCCCCTATTCAGTAGAACAAAAAGAGCAAATCCTGGAATTCACTGGAAGAAAAGTGGGAATTTTGGGGCTTTCAAGCGGGAAAATTAGGAATGGGGTTTTGGGGTTTTGGGGTTTTGGGGTTTTGGGGTTTTGGGGTTTTGGGG